CGCGGGCACATGCGTGGGCTACTCGTTGGAGCCCTTTCCCCTTCTATTCTAGGCGGTCGCGGGCCCCGCGGAGCAAGACCACCTGTGAGGGCTGCGGAGATTGGCGGAGGCGGTCATGTGGGCGGTCACGTGCTGCGGCGAGCTCCGTCCAAAAGAAAATGGGGTTTGGTGTAAATCTGGGGGTGTAATGTTATCATATATCACGCTACCTCGTAAAACCGACACTGAAAGCTGCCGGACAACAAATCACAGGTCAAAATTATGAGTTCTTCGTATTATGTGAACGCGCTTTTTAGCAAATATACGGCGGGGGCTTCTCTGTTCCAAAATGCCGAGCCTACTTCTTGCTCCTTTGCGCCCAACTCGCAGAGAAGCGGCTACGGGGCGGGCGCCGGCGCCTTCGCATCCACCGTGCCACAGGCTTGTACAATGTCAACAGCCCCCTGTACCAGAGCCCCTTCGCATTCGGCTACGGCCTGGGCGCCTACGCCTACGGCAACCTGCCCTGCGCCTCCTACGACCAAAACATCCCCGGGCTCTGCAGTGACCTCGCCAAAGGTGCCTGCGACAAGGTGGATGAGGGCGCGCTGCATGGTCCGGTCCAATTTCCGCATCTACCCCTGGATGCGGTCTTTAGGGCCTGATAGGAAGCGGCTGCCTTTCTGGTTCTAATTAGAGTCGAGGCGCCATAGCGTGGAGAACCCGTAGCATTGTATGTAAATGAGGCTCATAAAACTTTTTATGGCCCAATTAATGGGTTCAATCCTCGTAAATTTATTTAACTCCATTTGCCTTGGAATTTTAACGTTCAGTTTGTTTGCTCGCGATTCTCTCTTTCTCCCTCCCTTGCCCTTCTCTCCCTCCCTCCTCCTTTTCCTTTCAGCCTGGTTTTTCTTTCTCAAAACCTGGGAGAGCCGAACCCTTCAGGGCCCCTCGCAAGCCCCCGTGTCAGGGGCCATCTAAAGGCTGGGCTGGAGGGCTGGAGCGGGGACAGAGGGTCGGAGTGACCTAGGAAGGTCCCGGGATGGGGGCGCGGGCTGCTAGGGACGAAGGGGGCCCCTGGAGTGTGGGCTGCCTAAGGTCGCCTACTGGCCTAGCCAGTCAGGGAAGCGGCCCCATTGGTCTTTGAATGGCCAAAGCGGGGCGTCTCCCACTTGCCCACACTCTATATTTACAATTTCCCTTTGTCAGGGGGAAGCAGGACATTGTGGAAGCCTAGCCGGCTGGAAAGTGCGGTTGTAAATTGGGGATTCTGCGCCTTCCCTCTTCAGGGAGCTGCCTGCGCGTCTGGCGCGGCGGTTGGGGTCTTCCCCTCTCCGTCTCGCTCCTCCCCCAGCTCAGAGCGGGGCGCAGGCAGAGGGGAGCGCGCCCTGGGTCCGGCAGAAGGAAAGGCCGAGCTCTGCGTCAGTGGCCTGATGAAGGCACTGTCCTGACTATGGTCCCATCCGCTTGTCTGTCCATGTGTCCGTGTGTCCACACGTCTGCTTGCAGGGCCTGATAGGAAGCGGGGCCGCCAGACCTACACGCGCTACCAGACGCTGGAGCTGGAGAAGGAGTTCCACTTCAACCGCTACCTGACCCGGCGCCGCCGCATCGAGATCGCCCACGCGCTCTGCCTCACCGAGCGCCAGATCAAGATCTGGTTCCAGAACCGCCGCATGAAGTGGAAGAAAGAGCATAAGGACGAAGGTCCGGCGGCTGCTGCAGCCCCCGAGGGGCCCGTGCCCGAAGCAGCAGCCACCGCCACCGCAGCAGACAAGGCGGAGGACGAGGATGAGGAGGAAGAAGAGGATGAAGAGGAGGAGGAGTGAGGGGCCGAGCAGGGCCCTGGGCTGCACCAGACAGTCCAGAAAGCGTCTTTAGAGACTCTTCGATTTTATTTACAAAAGTTGAAAAATAAAAAGAAAATGTAAAAAAAAAAACAGTCCCCAACCTGTACCCCTTCTACCCCATTATCCACTCCAATTCCCAACTTTTTTGGACAGCAGCCGCCTAAACTGGGTCCCCTTGGGGGTACCCTCTGCCTCCGAGGCCCCCCAGAAGACACCCCCCTCATCCCTAGGCCGCTGGCTCTGCGCTGGCATGGCTAAAATACTACCTAGCACAGGCCTCAGAGAGAGGCACCCCAAACTACCTATGGGCCCAGCCCAGCGGACCTCCACTCCCAGGAAGCCCAGAGTGTCCCAACACTGGCAGACACCCGGCACCTCCCTATAGGCCAAGGACCTGACTCTCAATACCACCTACTTGTCCCAAACTACCTATTTTGTGCTCGCTGGCTCGCCTGCTACCTAGTGCCGGCCCCTCCCAGGCCAGGCCCCTGCTGCTTGTGGCTGGCAGCCTTTGGGGTCCCTGAGGCTATGCTGAGAAGGTGCTGGGGTCCCGGGACCAGGGCATTGGCTTCTATTTAAATTGAAAAATAATATATTTATTCCAAAGCATTCTAAGTGCTGCAACCTAGAATCCCTCTTTTCTGGCCTGGATATTCCAAGTTCAGGCCCGTCACCCCCCACTTCTGGAGGGGAGCATTCCCAAGCTAGCTGCAGATTTCTGAGTTAGCTGCTGCTTAGTAGGACTGCAGAGATGCTCCCCGCCTCCCCGCCCTTGTGTCCTACTGCCCAGCCGTGTTGAATATGTACACCCTGACTTTTCCTACAATAGCAAATATTGTATATTTGAATAAGATTTTTTTTTGTCATTTATATGGTCTTGGAGCTCATTTGTAAGGCAATGTCTTGACTTGGGAAGGATGCGTTAATGGGGTGACCATGTAGCATGGTATGTTGTCTTGAGCTAACTATAGCAGGTGGGGAGAGCCAATGCCCTCCCCAGTGCCCTTCATCTCCGTGTTGTCCTGCGTCCCCCTCGTCCCTCTCAGCTCTAGCCTCGGGTTCCAGGAACAGGAAGGTATGCTTTCCGTCTTGCCCAGCTCACTGTGTTTTATGTAACAGAAAAATAAAGATGCTTGATGACAAAGAAATGTGGACTCCTTTATCTGGGGAGGGAGGCTGGGGAAGAGGGTCATTATGGCCAGAGAGCAAGCCCTGATTCTGTGCATGTCCAAAGGGGCTTTAGGGAAGCAAAAAGTGGAAGGACAAATAGGGTCCAAGTGTTGGACGTCCGTGAATTGGTGTGCATGTGTGTCGAGTTCCTTTTTGTCTGGGTTTGCATAGGTATGTGTGTAGCTCTTTTTGTATATCTATTTCTGTGTATGTGTGTGTGTATTTTTATGTCCACAATTATATGTATTTCTGTGTCTGTAATTGAGTGAATGTGATTCTGTGTGTAAATAATTGCGTGTATTTCCATGTCCATAACTGAGTGTATGCGTTTCTGTGTGTCCGCAGTTGTATATGTGAATTTCTCTGGGTGAAGATTTTTGTCTGGTTTGTGTGTGTGCCCACAAACATCTTCCAGATACCTTGAAAACGGAATCTTTGATAGGTACATTCTATTCTATGAACCTTCCTAAAAACCTCCATAAATTCCAAGAGCGAATCCAAAATCCAAAATCCGCTCTTTCCTCTAAGGCTGCGGGGTGGGCTTGCAAAGGGGTATCACCCTGCGACTGATCCCGAGAATTTTCCATGAGCCCTGAACCTGGCGCCAGGCTAGGAGGTGAAATTCAGGGCCTCTGACGCGGTCCCCCACCCCGCATTCAGGCTAAGCGAGGATTGCTCAGAGCCCAGCAGTGCGGCTGAGAAGGGGCAGGGGCAGGGCCCGCAGACCCCACTGCTAGCCTGGGCGGGGGCGCCTGGGTGCGGGGAAGGATGAGGGGCTGGGGAAGGGGCGAGGGGCGGTGGGGACCGCAGAGAATAGCGTGAGCTGGGGGGTGGGCGAGGACCTCGACTCCAGGCTCCTGCCTGGGCTGGGCCCCCCTTCTTATTGCTCTTTGAATAAAACCTGGCTCAACTGCGTCTGTAAAACCTGCGGCCCCAAGTCGGGGCGGCTTCGGTGGTAAGATGGCGCCGGTGTAAGAGCTGCCTCCTCTTAGAGATGGGGAAAGGGTCATAAATCCGTTGTTGTTTATGAAAATTTACAACTTTGCAATACAACTTTATGAGTTGTTCGGCCCTTCCATTGGCCGTTGTCGGTCATGTGGATGGGAACCGTGAACATGAACTTTTTTATAATTTCCCTTGCGAGAATAGAGCCGCATTCTTGTGCTCCGCTCCGTCCTGCCTGCTTCGGAGCTCTGCCTTCCAGCCGGCTCGGCTGCGCTTTGTCCGGCGATGGCGAGCGAGG